AAAAAAAAAAAAAAAAAAAAAAAACCAGAAAAATAACAAAAGAATCAATGATCATTCCCTAACTGACTAAAATGGTTGAGTTTTCCTGAAACTATTGAACATCTTAGTAGTTGTAATGTTTGAGAAAAACAAGAAGAATTGAGAAGTCCCTGGGATCATTTAGATGAAAGTGTGAACTCAATTTTAATACTATACTTACAAAACACAGGGTTATTTTTTTCACCCTCTTGCTTTTCATAAACATGTCTTATAAATCCTGAGTAAGATTGCTGTCTATTTGTAGTTTCTGAGATTCAGTTCCCATCCATGAAGGCGGATCGACCAACGCCAGTGTTTAATCGTACGGCTGCAGTCCCATGGGCAGGGGCGTGGCTTCTGAACCTAGCTATTCTAGATGCACACCGTGGTTCTCAGCCGCTTCGTCACACAGGCTTCTCACAGGTACTTCAGTCTTCGTTTCCAGAGGCCCCTCTATCTGAGGACTGTCTCTTCCCAAAGCCCAGAAAAGCTCCGGGCACTTCCACTAGGTCCACGTTTCACAGGAGAAGTCGCCACATGCATCCATAAAATGCAGTTCAAAAGGAAAATTTGCGGGTAGCAAATTTCAACACACATAAAACCCAGAACCGTGACCCGACAAGGACCAAAGAGCTACTGAAAACTGTTAAACATACTTCTAGTCAAAGAATAAAATAAACCATCCTATTTTTAACCTGAGAACTCAACTTTGAGTTAGACTCAGGACAATGCTAGAACTCCTCTAGCCTGCAGCTCTACACACTTCTGTTTCTCCCGCGCTCAAGCCCCAAAGGCCTGCAAATCAGAATCAGGTGCCCCGCGCCTTGGTCCCAATATGCCCTGTGAGTTGCTTCTCTGTTACTACGACTGGTGATTTAAGAGGGGAAGGATTTATTCCGGCTCATGATTTGAGGGTGCAGACCGTCGTGACGAGGGCACCACGGCAGCAGGAGCGTGAGGTGACTGATTGCCCGGCAACAACGGTTAGGAAACAGCGGTGACTGCTGGGGCCCTAGAGCTTAGTCCTTATTAGGTAAAGGCTTGATCAGATAATAAACAAAATGTTTCTAACAGGGAACGTGGCTTGACGGTACATAACTGCAATCATCTGCCCACTTGGAAGGTAGAGGAAAGAGGACCTTGAATTCAAAGTCATCCCCAGCTGCCTAGCAAGTTCGAGGCCAGCCGGGGTTACGTGAGACCCTGTCTCAAAGAATATGCACTTCTACCTAACACTGTACTAAAGCCAGAAATGTAATTGGGAACTCAAAGGAGAGAATTCTTCATTGGTTGGCATTCTTTGTCATTTTTTGTTGGCGTCCTCACTCTTAGCCCTACCCCTGCCTGCCCCTGCCAGCCCCAATGTTCTCTCACTGGCCTGTACCCCCTAATAAGAAGGCATTGTTTGCTCAGGTTGAGTCACCCCACGGG